TGCTTGGGCCCTGCACCCCATGGGAGACCAGGATAAGTACCTGGCTCCTGCCATCGGATCAGCGCGGTGCGCCGGCCGCAGTGGGCCGGCCACGGCTGCCATTGGAGGGTGAACCAACGGCAAAAGGAAGACCTTTCTCTCTGTCTCTCTTTCTCTCTCACTGTCCCCTCTGCCTGTCAAAAAAAAATTAATTAATTAAAAAAAAAAAAAAGAAATGGGCAAAGGACATGAAAAGGCATTTTTTCCAAGGGATGAAATTTCAAATGGCCAACAATTACATAAAAAATGCTCAGGAACACTAGCAATGAGGGAAACAAGTCAAAACCACAATGAGGTTTACCTCACCATAGTTAGAATGGCTATCATTCAAAAATCAAAAAAACAATAAATGCTGGAGAGGATGTGGAGAAGAGATACCCTAATACACTGGTGGTGGGAATCTACTAAAACCATCAGGGAAGACAGAATGGATATTCCTCAGGAATCTGAAAATTGATGTATCATAAGACCCAGCCATCCCACTCCTAGGAATTTAACCAAACAAAATGAAATTGGCATATGAAAGAGTTATCTGTATCCCCCAAGTTTATTGTGGCTCAGTTCACAATAGCTAAGATATGGAATCATCCCAGATATCCATCAACTGATGACTAGATAAAGAAAATACGGTATATATACACCATGGAATACTACTCAGACATAAAATGAATGAAATCTTGTCTTTTGCAACAAATTGGATGCAAATGGAAATCAATATGCTTAGTGAAATAAGCCAACGAAAAATATCATGTTTTCTCTGATATATGTCAGTTAATATAGAATACAAAAAAATGTATAGGAATTAAGCAGATATCCTGTGATATGATTATTGTCTTTAGCCCTTGCTTATATTCCTGTGGAACTGTGGTCTTCCTTCTTTTAACTTGTTGAATATTATGGTGTTGAATTAAGCCAGTGATTATAGAGTGGATTGAAAGCATGTCTTTGCCAAAATGAAAAGACAAAAAAGAAAGCTGGGAAGCAGGAAGATTGAGGGAAGAAGTGGGAAAGAGGTAAGCCTGGTTATCTTCTTAGCATGGTGCCTATGATATAAATTAATCTCTTCTGTTTATGTTAACAAAATTTTTCAAAAGACATTTGAGTTTAATCTATAGTAATGATTTTTTATAATCATGAATATGAAACAGATTTAGTAGTACTAAGAAATTCTACAAAAAGCCACATGTAGTATATATTCAATTAGTTTTCATTTCTCAAGCCCAAATAACATTTTTCATTACTATCTTCACCCTGCACCCACTCCTTCTCAATAAATAAGTTGAGTGTCTAAACGAGATTGAGTAGCTCAATTTGTAAAACACGGCTGCACTGCATTAATAACATTTAGATGAGAACCCACTTGCCAGAAATTTAGCACCTCTGAGAATATTATATCATAAATTATTTACTCATGAAATAGTATTAATACAGTATAATTTAATGATATTATTATTTCTTGTCTACCTTTAAGGCCATAAAATAATTATGTATATAAAGAAAGAACTAACTAATGTATTTGCCTCTAGAAAGCAATTTGTTACTCAAAGCTACTATAATGCTCCTTAAGGAGTAATAGCTTTAATATTTTAAATTCAAACTGTATGTTGAAATCATAAGTTCAAAACTAGGTTTTATACTTTTTGATTATGAAATGTTTAGGGAAGTAGCATATCAAGAACACAACTTTAATCATTTTATGCTAGGTAATTTTATACTGATTTTTAAGCATAAGGATAATATACTAAAAGAGATTAAAATATGATAATGTTCTATGTTAATACATTTTGAAAATTTTAAAGAACTGTAAGTTTAAAAGAAGAATTGAAGAAAGAAAAATGGCAGGCATAAATAATGTAGTGATTATTCAAATACACATACTCACTAGTAATACAAGGTTGATGTAAAAATAATCCTACCTTTTCCAATAGCCCTATTTGTCTATGGACTTTTCAGTCAGATTTTAATTGAGACAAATTACAGTTAAATAACTCAAAAAGTGTGGGAAAAACATAACTTCTTTTAGTTATTAACATTTCATGATATTTTCACTCTTCTAATCAAAATATGATTAACATTCATTTCTAGGCATAATATAATACCTTGATAAACATTAAAATTCCAGTTTAATAAAAAATTAAGCATGAAATATTTCAAGAGATTCCTTTAACATATTTGCTCCCATTAAACATTTTGGTGCCATGAAAACTAACTAAAATTGAATGTGCCATTGAAGGTAAATGTTTTCAATACCTCTGTGAAAAGAATAAGCTATATAAATGAATTCATCCCTCTAGTGTACCATAATATTTTCACTGATCAATATCCACTTATCGTTTCCATTCATTAGCACATCTCAAAGCAAAACTTTCATCTTCTTAACAGATTTACCATAGAAATAAATTTGGGGTTCCTATATAAAGCTGTAATGGCAAAATTGAAATTCATTGTGGTTTCATTCTTTTTGTTCTGCTTTTAAGAGACTCTGCATTCTCAGTTGTATTATTTAAAAAGCATAACATCAATAATAAGCCTTTGATATTAATATTATACCACACCAATATATGTGTTTGTGAGAAACCAAGGTTTCAAATATTTAAAAAGCAATATACCTGGCTAAATTAATGCCATATATTTTTAAGTGTTCAAAGATTATTTTAATTTTAAACAGTTCTTATATATCAAAAACATGTAGTATGATTGTAACAAAATTAAAGAGATTGTAAGGAAGAAGCCTTTAAATAATTTTCATTAACTATACAGATAAATTGTCATTCTACATATCTGCCTTCTGAGGTTCATGGTAGCTGATATCTTAATGTTTTGGAGAGAGAAAACATGTTCCACATACCATCTTTACTTTGAACATCAAATATAGGAATGGTTTCTAAAACATTTAGGATTTTGCATTTAAAGGAAATTAGTAAAATTAAATTTGAAGAAAGCACTCAAAATATTTTTAATATATTTATATAACATGAACTCTCAATAAGATTTGTTTTTATTCTAGTAGTGGTAGCAAGTTAATATTAACTTTATTAACTCCTTTAAGGAATGAACCAGCACTTAAATGAGCTTTAGAAAGAGCATCCTAAGATGAATAGTATATTCAGGGAATATTCTGAGAACATAGTACTATTTACAAACACAGATTACAATTGGCCAGTGGCCCCTACCCTAATTCTCCTTGGTTAGTTCTTCCTTTTCTACAACAGATATTTTGAAAATTTTTGACTTCCACTTAAAAGATAAGTTCATACTCAATATATTTAAATTACAATCACCTTTCAGAGCATCTGAATATGTAACAAATAGCATTACTATTACTACAATATTAATAAATATCAATTTGTCATTTTGGGGAAAGTGAACATATTATAAGTAAATAAACAGTCTTATTAGGTTTTCATACAGTGAATACCTGCATTATTTGTTCACTGTAGCTAGCATATGTAAACATTTTCAGGGCTCTCAAGACCACCATTGGGATATTATGAACTTTCTTTTTAGAGGTAAGAAAATTCAACTAGGCCATTTAATTGTATTCAGATGCTAGTTGAAGGCAGATTTATATATTGATTTTTTCACTATATTTATTAAAGTTAGATTCATAAATTTTGTAGATACTATACTTTTTTTTATAGTGCATACTATAATGCATTTGGAAAATTCATTCCTTGTTAGATTCTGATTTCTTCAATGGTTTGCTACATAGTCACGTGCCCCATTGTGTTATTGCAGACCTACATAAAGCTTGTCATAATTTTGGGTTTTCTTCCTTCCTCAATCTTGAATTTTGCTCTAATAGATCGCCTAACACATTTAGAAGTTTGTTTACCTTCATACAAAATTCACTTTTTGCCAAATATTTACATATTTATATTTAATAAGCATTTTTTCAATGAGTTTCCCCCGTCATGGGGAAATTTTCATTGATGTTGCACTGATCAATATAGAAAATGAGAGAGGTAAAGAAGATTTTGATGAGTGATTTATTGGAGGGGCTCAAGTTTACAAAAATAGTTACTCAGCTTTGATAGATGTTTAAAGACAGTATAAATAAGAAAAGCATGCCATTCACTGATTCTGCAGCCTTGAATACACTGAATTATTTTTAGATATTTTAAGTATGATCTTTATCATATGAAAAATTATACAAGCAGAAATATACTGGTCAATGCAACAGAAAAATAAAATACTTACAATAATAATACTAATAGAATATTAATAAAAACAGAAACTTGTTTTTTCCTTACTTGAGGTATAGAATAATAAATCTACTGGATGTTTTGCTATTAAGATGATTGTGTTTCTTTATTCCTTTTAGTTACTAATACATACAAAATTAAGAAACTGCTTACTAATATAATGCTGTCATCAGTTGGTGTTTTATAAGAATAATACTGTTTATCAATTTTAGGATTATAAGGTACTTACATGATTAATTCTGTTATGGAAATGTATCAAATTGATGTGTTCTTTAAACATATTTATCAATCAAATAATCATCAGATATCAATAAATGGAAATGGTCTGATTACCAAAAAAGAATATTACAGTAAATTTCTAGGGGTTAAACTTTTTCTAAAAATAAAAATTATTAATGTTTACTACTTTGAATTTTCTTTTAAACTGCAACATATAAATTTACAAAAAAGTTTCAGAACATAACTAAATACTGAAAATAAAGATTATTACATCAAATTTAACTGAGAATATTTGAATTCACTATACATTCTAAAACTACTAAAATAAAAACTTTGCAACTAATCAAAGCTCCTATAGGTACTGAATTAAAATGACAATAGTAAAGGTTGCTCTAAAACATTAAAGAAAAAAAACTAGATAGATGTGTTCAATATTACTATGTAAAGTTTATTATAAAATATGCATTTAAAAAAAGCTTGTTAATTAACCAAAGAAAGACCCAAGTTTGCTTAAAGATTAAATAATATCACCAATACCTCTCGGCGTCGAGAAGCCCAACAAGTTTGTTTAATCTTCCATACCACAGCAGCCACAAGTAACAAGGATAAAAAACAACTGGAAAATAAATACAAATAAATTTTATACAACATATTTGAAATATGTACTGAGATTTTAAAAGCACATGGAAGACTAAAAACTATACAGATGTAATCATTCTGTCTCAGTAACTAATTTGAACAAATAGAACACATTTATAGTTTTTATGATATTTTCTCAACTAAAATCAAAGTTTACAGTTACAAAAAATTATATTTCTTGATACACAGTATGGTTTATTTCCAAGATTTCCTGTCAGAAAGAATATAAATTTATAATTTCATTAGTCTTGTGAAGCAACTAAAATCTATTTAAAATGCTATTATGAGTCCTAAAACATGACAATTTTATAAACTGTTCCTTCATTTGTTATTATTAAATATTTGTTTTGAGCATATTCCAATGGTTCTCAACCAAAACTGATTTTTGCCTTCTGTTCCTAGGGGTCATTTGTCAACATCTACAGACAATTTTGATTGTTGTGACTGGGAGTGGAGTGTAACTCACCCCACGTGGGCAAGGCCAGGGATGCTGCTGAACATCCTACAATGGACAGAACACCGCCAAACACAAAGACTTACCACTCCAAAAAGTCAATATTACTGAGGTCGAGAACCCAATATATACTAGTGTTTCAAAAAAAAAAAAAAAAAAAAGGAAACAATTCAGTTAAAATATGGCCTAATATTTTAAGTATCATAGGCAATATGTTATGGTAATACATACTATTTTGTTAGCACCAATTTGAGACTGACAAATCTCACAATAACAGACTTAAGTAAATCTGATTAATCAGTCCCAACCTTATATCACTGTTTATTTTATCTCCTATTGTGCTACAGTCACAGATTGTGCTATGAGGAGACCTGAAGATGAGTAGACCCCACACTATACAAATTTACTGGTCATTAGCCATTACAAAGAAAATCCCTGGTTTTCATCCTTAATCGATAACACAATATATGTCAATTGATTCACTACTATGCAGTGGCAATTTCTGATACTTTCCATTCTTTTTAAAAGTAAGTCCTCAAAAGTTTTTTCCATTACCCCTGCCTCACTTGAATCAGAAGACCTTAAACTTCAGTGATAATTATTCTAATATTTATGCATTGAGTGTTGAGCACATTTCAGATGCTGTACTAGAACTTTCACACTGATGATTTAATTTGTTTTATAAAAATACTTCCAGATAGAATATATACACTCATTTTCAAAAAAAAAAAAAAAAAAAAAGAGGGGCTGGCGCTGGGGCGTAGCAGGTAAAACCATGGCCTGCAGTGCCAGTATCCCATATGGGTGCTGGTTCTAGTTCTGGCTGCTCCACTTCTGATCCAGCTCTCTGCTATGCCATAGGAAAGCAGTAGAAGATGGCCCAAGTCCTTGGGCCCCTGCACCTGCGTGGGAGACCTGGAGGAAGTGGCACAGCTCCAGCTATTGCAGCCATCTGTGGCGTGAACCAGCAGACGGAAGACCTCTCTCTCTTTCTCTCTCTCTCTCTCTCTCTCTCTCTCTGCCTCTCTCTAACTCTGCCTTTCCAATAAATAAATAAATCTTAAAAAAAAATATGGATTTGGGGAATTGGTTTGTTCTCTGGCAGGCCACTATCAATGTTGGTAGGCAGAGTAGAGACAGTTCCTGACAAGAGGCTTAAAGTGCTAAAGATTTCACCAGTGGTGACCAGAGAAAATGTCCTTAAGGAGCAGACACTTTAGTGGGTACAGTGATTTAAGCATTCAAATGACGGGAGAAAATACTTTCAGAATAGTGGAGTTGGCTGATTACTGATACCTGCACAGGAATAGTGAGAGACTGATGGCCATCAAGAAGCAGCACTGGCTAAGTACAAGACCCCGAGGTCTATTTTCTAGCTTTCCGGGAAGCCCTGAAATATAGGACAGGAATATGTAGATGGGTGTTTCTAATGATGTTGCTTCCACAGCTCCCTTCGCTTGTAATAACTACACTCCTGCCATGCAAAAACACACTGAATAATTGTCTTCCCTCTGAGGCAACAGGTGTAAATATCAAACCTACCACTACTTCATCTGCTAGTGGCCAGACTGATAAGTAGGGTTAAATCCCAGGCTAACCCATGTGGGTTTTATAAGAGAATAGACTGCAAACTTGACACAGCAGCGAGAATTAGCCATAATATACTGAGTGGGTAGGACACATGGGATTATGAATATATTTGGATTTTGGTGATATTTGATCAAGGGAGATGAAACATAAGACTGGATAAATAAAACTTAATATTTTGATGTATAATTTCAATACCTTAAGAGATGTAATATCCTTTTTTTTATTTTTTTTCTTTTATTTACTAAATATAAATTTCCAAAATACAGCTTATGGATTATAATGGCTCCCCGCCCCCCATAACTTCCCTCCCACCCGCAACCCTCCCCTCTCCTACCGCCTCTCCCATTCCATTCACATCAAGATTATCAAGATTCTTTTTTTTTTTTTTTTTTTTTTTTTTTTGGACAGGCAGAGTTAGACAGAGAGAGAGACAGAGAGAAAGGTCTTCTTTTTTCCATTGGTTCACCCCGCAAATGGCCGCCACAGCTGGTGCGCTGTGCTGATCCAAAGCCAGGAGCCAAGTGCTTCCTCCTGGTCTCCCATGCAGGTGCAGGGTCCAAGCACTTGGGCCATCCTCCACTGCCTTCCTGGGCCACAGCAGAGAGCTAGACTGGAAGAGGAGCAATCGGGACAGAACCGGTGCCCAACCGGGACCAGAATCTGGGGTGCCAGCACCGCAGGCAGAGGATTAGCCAAGTTAGCCGCAGTGCCGGCCAAGATTCATTTTCAATTATCTTCATATACAGAAGATCAATTTAGCATATATTAACTAAAGATTTCAACAGTTTGCACCCACACAGAAACACAAAATGTAAAATACTGTTTGAGTACTAGTTATAGCATTAATTCACAATGTACAACACATTAAGGACAGAGATCCTACATGAGGAGTAAGTGCGCAGTGACTCCTGTTGTTGACTTAACAAATTGACACTCTTGTTTATGGCATCAGTAATCACCCTAGGCTCTTGTCATGAGTTGCCATAGCTATGGAAGCCTTTTGAGTTTGCTGACTCTGATCTTATTTAGACAAGGTCATAGTCAAAGTGCAAGTTCTCTCCTCCCTTCAGAGAAAGGTACCTGCTTCTTAGGTTTTCAATACAATTCTAAATAAATTGGTAAAATATTTATTGCATGGGCCAGTCTTGTGGCGTAGTAGGTTAAACAGAAGAGATGTAATATCCTTTTGAGGACTCCAGGAGATTGGGCAAACTTGCTGGAATGACTCTCAGAAGCCAGGAAAAAGCACTAGTCAAAACAAAATGAATGGGGCCAGCACCATGGCTCACTTGGTTAATCCTCCACTTATGGTGCCAGCATCCCATATCGGCTCTGGGTTCTAGCCCCGGTTGCTCCTCTTCCAGTTCAGCTCTCTGCTGTGGCCTGGGAAGACAGTGGAGGATAGCCCAAGTGCTTGGGCACCTACACCCACTTGGGAGACCAGGAGTAAGCATCTGGCTCCTGGCTTTGGATCGGCACAGCGCACCAGCTGTAGCAGCCATTTGGGGGGTAAACCAATGAAAGGAAGACCTTTCTCTGTCTCTCTCTCTCTCTCACTGTCTAACTCTATCTGTCAAATAAATTAAAAAAAAAATGAACTAGTAACACTTGAAATGCCCTCAGAGAGGAAAGGAACACAAAGCTGAAGAGGGGAATATGCTGGAATGGATATATTGTATAAGGCCAGAAGAACTACCAGATGCTTATATTCCATGGGAGGGTCCAAGGTACACACCATTTGACAATCCCATTAAGAATACAGAATCATAAAGACACTTAGTGTTGGCTCTCTTCTGGTACCAGAGCTGAAAAATAGGAGGGGAAAGGCAGTCAGAGAACTGCCATGAAATGATGGGGGCCCCAAGTAATAGAGACCAGGTGTCAGTGCTTCCCTGCCAAAACCAGGAGCCACAATTACCATTACCTTGGTAAAAAAGGCTAGAGAAGTTGCCAGGGGCGTTGGACCAAAAAGAGTTACTGAGGGGCCGGCGCCGCGGCTCACTAGGCTAATCCTCTGCATTGCGGCGCTGGCACACCGGGTTCTAGTCCTGGTCGGGGCACCAGATTCTGTCCTGGTTGCCCCTCTTCCAGGCCAGCTCTCTGCTGTGGCCCGGGAGTGCAGTGGAGGATGGCCCAAGTGCTTGGGCCCTGCACCCCATGGGAGACCAGGAGAAGCACCTGGCTCCTGCCATCGGATCAGCGCAGTGCGCCGGCCGCGGCGGCCATTGGAGGGTGAACCAACGGCAAAAGGAAGACCTTTCTCTCTGTCTCTCTCTCTCTCACTGTCTACTCTGCCTGTCAAAAAAAAAAAAAAAGTTACTGAGGATGATTAATAAGGCACTGTGTCCTATTTAACATTTGGTTTTATTTTAAGTATGCACAGAGGAATAAGAGGCTAAGGTTGTTGCCTCAGTAGAAAGTTCTGCTCAGTTCCCAGACTTGAGCTATTTTCAAATCCAGCTCCCATTGCCTAAATAAGTGGCCATGTCTACAGAAGAAAGGACTCGACATATCTTCAAAAGTGTATAAAATGATCAATAAAGTGATTTATACCATATACTTCAAGATATTCAGTTAGGGGCTGGTGGTGTGGCGTAACAGGTAAAGCCGCCACCTGCCTGCAGTGCCAGCATCCCATATGGTCGCTGGTTTGTGTCCCGGCTGCTCCACTTCCGATCCAGCTCTCTGCTATGGCCTGGGAAAACATTAGAAGATGTCCCAAGTCCTTGGGCCGCTGCACCTACGTGGGAGACCTGGAAGAAGCTCCTGGCTCCTGGCTTCATATTGGCACAGCTCCAGCCATTGTGGCCATCTGGGGAGTGAAGCCGCAGATGGAAGACCTCTCTCTCTCTTTCTCTCTCTCTCTCTCTGCCTCTCCTTCTCTCTGTGTGTAACTCTAATTTCAAGTAAATAAATAAATTACAAAAAAAATACAGTTATAATGGGGATACTCACTGAGCAAGGTCAATGAAAAGACATTGTGAGTACTATTGAAAACAAGGATAGAAGGGACAAAAAGAGGTGACACAGATTTCCCAACAGTTCAAATGTTGTTGTGGCTCCTTATTAGAATTGGGACACTGTGGGTAGGGGACACAGAAAACAAATTCTGGCTAATTTCTGGTTTATAGTGTGCTAACTGTTTTTATGGACCCATCCACTAGTGATTTCCCTTGGCTTTGATATTAAACTTTAAATGACATCTAACGAAGCTAAAGTAACCCCCACACTGTATCCTTGGCCTATAGTGTAAGATCAATTATAGTGGAAAAAAACAAGTGGCAATGTCTGAAACTGCACCCACTAGTCAAGATAGTAAATATGCTCAGTGCTTTAGTGACCATTAATGCCACCATGGAAAATCTAAAAGATGAAAGGTGGTTGTCCCTACCATACTTCCATACCATTATTCCTGTTAAACAAATAATTCAGAAATTTCAGAGTTAGCCATATTTACTTATCCATTTTACACAACAGAAAAGTATTTGTTGAAAAAAAAATTCCTTTCAGTTCTCTAATCATTTACTATGTTATAATGTTGTAATACTGTTACAATACACACAGATACTGCCACCAAAACTCTTTAATTTTATATATGAAAGAACTGAAATTTAGAGAAGCTAGATTATCTACTTAGGCAGACTAGATGTATAGTGATTTCTGAATATTGGATCAATTATATTTAACACCAGAACTATGTACAATATAGAGGTTTAAAAAAAAAAAAAAAAAACCTGCCAGAGGTTGAGAATGGTCCCCTTAGAACTATGGCCAAAATAAAAACTCATACATTCACTTCTGCTACTCAAGTAACTGGTTGGAAATGGGGATGACAGCAATAATTGCCTGACTGGTGTGTCTCTAAATGCTAACCTGTTTAAAACTCTTTAAAATTTAGAACTGGCCTTATAAAATAATTAGTAAACTTCAAAATATTCTGTCCATTTTTTTTCTTAACAATGAGGTGATTTTAAAATGATCTAATTTACATTTCAGTACTGGGAGGAATTTAAATGACAAAAAAACCATCAAATATATTTTATCTCACCTACTGACTACAATATTTTATTTCACTTTGTCCATGATGACAACCTAATAAATAAGATCATCTCCAAGACATGGTACATATTAACACTAATTTTATCTTACATAATACAAGAACTATTGAATTTAAATATGCACACAAATTCAAAAAGTTAAAACCCCATTTAATTATTTACATATATATGCAGCTTTGTGAATTTCTACACATAACCAAAATTATAGTACATTTTCATCCACACTATTGTGCATCAAAATATTTTAATGCATTAAGTAGTGCTCAATTATAATTTCTAGTCCTTTATAAAAACATATTGTGACCTTGTTAATAGCCTAAAAATTCATTTATATTAAGAAGCATAGTCATAAAAGATTAAATATATTTAAGATGCCTCTTCAAATTTAATTTTGTAAAGGACACATTTAAAGTATGAGTTCTCTTTCTATACCTATTTGTGATAAATATGCTTATAGAACTAAATTCTAGAAAGCATAATTTTTAAGGGACATAGACAAACATGATTGTTTTCAAAGCTAAGTGACCAACATGGCAAGGTCCTGACAAGAGAAATGAATAAATGAACAGGGAATATGCAAATTGGAGAAAGAAGTTTAAAAATGTAAAGGGCTATAAATGCAGATGAGAGTTTAAATTTGTTATATATGGGTCCATATGGATGAATTAGAGGAGATATTAAAGAGAGACAGATTTCAGATCAATTATAAAGAACAATTAGTTATCTGATGATAGAAAATGCTATCTCAGGAGATGGCGAATTTCCTGTCATTAAAGGCATTCAGGCATAAGCCTGATCGGGGTTCGGCAAATTATGTCCACAGGCTGAATTCGGCCCACCAGATGTTTTTATAATAAAGTTTTATTGGAATATAGCCACTCTAATTTGTTTCCATATTGGCAATGGATGCTTTAACACTACAGCAGCAGAGTTGCATAGATGCACCAGGGACTCTATGGCCCACAAATTTAGAAATAATTACTACCTAGTCCTAAAAGAAGACTTTTTCAGATCCCTGTGGAGAAAGTATTAGACTTAGGTATACTGTGGGTATCTGCACAAGACAACCAATAAGTTAATGATTACTTGTTGCCTAGGAGAGTGCCTGACAAACCATGTGTGTCACAGGTTGAATTCTGCAGGTTCTTTACTGGATAAGTTAGCCTCACCAAGTTGGTAAGTGGTGGTCAAAATCTGCAGTGCACTGTTTTCAAAGTTGCATGCCATGATGTAGGGCTATGTCTGCCAGGAGAAGGAGTCCCATCTATGTCATTTGCACAAAAGCAGCCAAGGAACCAGCACAAATCCATAATAACATTAACAACAATAACAAGAAGTTCAGAGGTTCTAAGATGCTGCAAAAGATATTCTTTTACTGAAACTCAAATTCTTCTCCTGTCCTAGAATTTATTTACATCCCATGGAAATAAAAATAAGTTGTTCCCTGAAGGAGAGTTTTTATGTTTTGACAAATTATTTAAACTCTACCCTCTCTTTCAGAAAAACATATTAGAAATTAGCATATTAAAAACTCGGAAGAGTTATGTAAGTTACAATAAAAGAGCCCTATTTAACTTCAGTATACCCAGCATTTTCCAAAGTTGTTTAATTATGGAACCTTTGCTTTGTGAACCTACAATTAATGTCTCACATAAGTAGTGTTCTAGGGATTGATGCCCTCTATTCAAAGCTGTAATAGTACTTCCAGATTACAAGCTTCACGAGAGAAAATACATACTTTTTCTCATTTATTACAGACTTTGGCATGCTGCTAAGCACATATGATAATTAGCTAAGAAATAATTGAACTGATTTAATTCTAGTAGAAGTAGATATTACTAATCCATGTGGTGCATGTACTGTTAATTAACAAAAATAGGCTTTAATTATTTAGGTGAGAGAGGGAGAGTTACCTCTTTCCACAGAATCTATTAGCTATTAATTTATAGAACAATAAAATAATCACACATTGGGCTAGTGTTGTGGCAGAGCAAATACAGGTGCCTCCTGGGATGCCAGCATCCCATGAGGGCACGGATTTGTATCCTCGCTGCTCCACTCGTGATCCATCTCCCTGCTAATGCTTGGGTATTTGGGCCCCTGACACCAACATGGGAGACCTAGAAGAAGCTCCAGGCTCTTGGCGCCACCCTTCCTCAACCCTGACTGTTGTTACCATCTGTTGATGAACCAGCAGATGGAAGCTCTCTCTATGACTCTGCCTCTCTCTCTGTTACTCTGATTTTTAAATAAATCAATCTAAAAAAATACAAAAGCAATAAAAATTAAAAAAAAACTCATACAAGTATATTTCAAATATGTTCCTGGCGCTCTTAGTATATATTAAAGCATATAAAACTATTCAAGACATGTTATATAGTTTAAGGTTAAGTGATTAATAAATTTCATTGATTGACAAAACATATATCAGAATATAGGTTTAACATGGTCAAAATCAGTAAAAGGAAATTACCTGAAGAAGGTGACAAAAAACTGCACCAGATCCATGATTGTATTGTGTTGTGAGAACGCAATCTGAAAAATCAAAATGAAAGTTTGAAACTCAGTAAGTTCTTCTCCAAAAACTGTGATATTTCATAGCATTTGTAAGAACACTATTTCTAAATCATCAAGACATTTGGGATCATCCTATTATAAATCAAATCTATGTTAGCATTAAAACTTCATATAGAATATATACTGCATTCAACTAATGATGATCTTCACATATGCTAACATAAAATAATTTTAAAAAAACATTATGAAATTACTTCAAGAATAGAGGCAAAAAGTTTCACATGAAATGTTATGACAGATTAAATGTTCCTACCTATCAAATGCAAGTTAGTTTCTTCATTTAGTAATGATCTCATTTCCAATTAATACAACTGATAATAACTTGTCAAATAAAAAATAAATTTGAATTATATTACAAAAACTGGGGGTGGGGTGGGGTTTGTTTTTCCTATACATCCATGTCTAAGCAAGCTGTACACACACACAGAAATATTGTGTTAGAAACCATCTGAAGAATAAAAGATGTCAAATCTTTTAAAATATCACATTCATGAAAAATAAATTTTACTAATAAGCTAAAATTGTTTTCCATTTACATTAACATTTATACATACCATACTATGACATTTACTTGAGGTAGTATTATATAATATCATATTAGGCAATGTAACGTTTCCTCTGAATAGAAAATAAATGATTTTGAAATACAACTTTGCACTCATTAACAGTGTGTCTTTTGGAAAAGTACATGGTCTACTTGAAGCTAAGTTTTCCCATACATAAATGGTAATATTAAAATTATCCACTTCATAATATTAGAGAGAAAATTAATTGAATTCATAGGAATTTAATGTTTACAATAATATCTGAAGTAATAGCTATTATATAATAGACATTATTAAACCTTTCATCATTTAAATGAGACGGTCAATAAATGTGAATTTCTCTACTAGCTGAAACTAAACCATTAGGTTTGGAAATCCTATGTATAATATTTTATAAATAGCTTTCAAAAACATATCATAGGATTTCCACTTCTATTCAAAATGTTTCAACAAAGATGAATTTTCTGTGTTAAAGAACTATAGAAGGGGACAAAATATTTAAAACAAACATTTTTGACACTGTACAAATGGCAGAGGAGGACTATTATTCTTGAGTGAAGAAAAACAAAGGAGAAAAGATCTACAACTGTCCCAGATTTCAATGCAAAGAGGAACACTAAGGAATCTAAATGTACTGCAAAAAAAAAATTTATCTTACAGAATATAAAAAATATAGTCTGTTGAGAAGATAGTTAATTCTTTGGTATACACATACAGTTTAAATATAGTAACATTCATTTCCAACAAGCTTCTCAGCATTTGAAGATTTATAAAGCATTTATATGAAGACTAAAGAAAGATAATTGCTACACAAGATTGGATATAATCAAAATTATCTTACAAGTTTAAAGAAAATGTATCTCTTAAAGTGAAAAAAGGGAGATTGTCCATAAGAATGTTGTAGAAATAGAAGTTATCAAAGAAAATTGTTAACAATAACTTAAATCCATGATAGAATTCTGTATACAGCAGCTAACTAACTGATTTTGTTTAAAAGGATAATTATTTGGAGGCCAAAACTGTGGTACAGTGGGTTAACACACTGATTGCAAAGCTAGCATTCCATATGAGCACCAATTTCAATCCCAGCTGCTCTACTTCTCATCCAATTCCTTGCTAACACATCTGGGAAGGCAGCAATGGTTGGTCCACATGCTCGGGCCACTGCACCTACGTGGGAGATCCAGATAGAGTTCATGACATCTGGCTTTGTTGTGGTCATTTGTGAAGTGAACCAGTAGACAAAAGATTATCTATCTATCTATCTATCTAATCTATCTATCTAATCTATCTTTGTATCTGTATCACCTTCTTTCCTCCTGTAACTCTTTTAAATGAGTACATCTTTTTTTAAAAAAAAAAAGGGATAATTATTTTGAAATAATAAAGAAAATTGGTTTTATTAAGGTAAATTGGGATATGAAGTTAACTTTAGACACTGCTGAGAAATATACAAATGAAAGGGAGGGGAAAAGAATTTGGACAAAGACTTAAATAAATTGCCAAAACATTGAAAAGCGAACAAGGGAAATAACAAATAAAGTGCAAATAGAGCATAAAACTCAAATAATAAGATACAGTATATAAGATATTTTACTACATGTGAACAGACTGAATCCCCATTGAAAGAGATTTTCAGAGTAGATTAAAAGGCATAATTCAGCTTTATGTTTATAATGGAAAACATATTTAGGACAGTGACACATTTTTGCCAAAACAAAGTATTATAAAATGTCATAAGGGACTTTAAAAATAACTACAATAAAAATATAGAGGCTAATATTAATAACAAAGTAGAATTTAAAGTCAAAATCTGGTCAAAAAAACAGAGGCACAAAATGATGTAACAATAATAAACTTTATGCACTAAAAGCACAGGCCGAAAAAGTAAAAACACAATGCCTGGACACACAAGAAGAATCTGAGGATAAAAAAATTATGGGAAATAATCACTAAACTGCTTATTTTTCAGAACTTATCAGATAACAAATTAATTTATTCAGTAATTTAAATAATGAAAGAATATGCAAAGAAATACTGGGTAAGCAAGCCCTGTTCTAGATGACACCATCATAAATATAATAAAGTCCCTATTCTTTTGCAACTTTCTTTCTAATATCAGGGGACAGAAAATAACCAAGTAAGCTCAATGAATATCATAATTTTCAACAGTGGTAAGTGTTCCAAAAAAAAAGATACGTGATACGATGAAGAAGAAGGATGTGTATTTAATTAGATTAGGGAGTTGGAGGAACTGGTCTCACTACAAGGTAATTTATGAGCTGACACTTAAATAACTAGCTTAAAATGATATAAATACCTGTTGAAGAAATTTCCCAAGTTAAACAGGACACTTGCATGAGAAGTTTGAATAACTAATGGGAAGTTACAAGAACTGGAGAGCATAAGACAAGATAGTTGAAAATAAATCTAGATGAGCAAACAGGAATTAAGTCTACCAGGTCCTTATCAATGACAAAAATTCTAGAATATTTGATAAAGGTAATGGAAGGTTTTGAACTATGAATGATATGATTTGTTAAGAAAAATCCATTCTAGCTGCTGGGTGAAGGAAGGATATATGGTAAGGAAAAGCAAGAAAATAAGAGAGGAGGACATTAGATTTTTCTAGGCATGAAGTGATGGTAGCCTGCACACGAGTAGTAGCCAGGAAAGCAATGTAAGAAGATGGAAACATAATTCAGAATTAGAGAGGGAAGATATGCTAAAAGGTTGGGTATAACAGGTAAATAAAAGAATAATCAAGGTTGCCTGTGTGAGTTTGCTGTGGAAAACATGGTAGATGATATTTCTATGAGGGTACTTTAAAAAGTTAATGGAATAATGTAACTAAAATGGAAGTTTATTTAGGCACAAAAGAATTGGAATCCATGCATGGTTTTAATAAAATTTTAACTTTGTCAATTTCTAAGAATTTCTTTCATATTGTGAATTAGATCAGACTATAATATTTTAGTCTAAATTTGTAGGCATTGCTTGAAACATTACTTTTTTTTTTTTTTTTGAAGATTTTATTTTTATTGGAGAGGTAGAGTTACAGAGAGAGGGAGAGACAAGAGCAAGGTTTTCCATCGACTGGTTCACGTTCCAAATGGCACCAACAGCTATAATTGGGCTGATCTGAAGTCAGGAGCCAGGAGTTTCCTCCAGATCTCCCACACAGGTGCAGGGGCCCAAGCACTCTGGTCACCTACTACTTTCCCAGGCCATAGCAGAGAATTGGATCAAAAGAGAAGCACCTGGCTCACATATGGGATGCCTGAGCTGCAAGCAGATGCTTAGCCTACTATGCCACAGTGCCAGCCCTGAAATATTACTTTTTAACATGTGAAAAAAAATTGAGATTTCTATAAATGAATGATTATTTGATACTTAACATTTTTAAAATACTAACATAAATAAAAAAATCAATAAAAGCATGCTAAATTTATAGTTCCCCTTAGATATTATCTCTCCAGGAGAGCAATATTTCTTTTTTTAAGTTTTATTTTTATTGATTTATTGATTTGAAAGGCAGATTGGGAGATGGAGTGGGGAGACAGAGAAGCTCCACTCCTTGGTTCACTCCCCCAAAAGGCCACAACAGCCAGGTCTGGTCCAGGCCAAAGCCAAGTACCGGAAACTCCATCCTGGTTTCCCACATGAGTGACAAGGACCCAAGTACTTGAGCCAATACCTGCTGCCTTCCAGGGTGTGCATGACAGGAAACTAGATAAGAAGTGGGAGACAGCACTCAAAGCAGATACTCTCAATGGGATATGGGCATCCCAAGCAGCAGCTTAACTGTTGCGTCAAATGCCACAATTGATGGAATGTTTCTACTGTAACATTATAATTAACAAGTTAGAAAGATTTTTACTAGCTGATATAGTGGCTAGTCTATGACCTTTTACATTTGGATTCTTTGCTCTTTCCCATGAAAATTTTGACATGTTTAAACATATCACTCTGAAAATTGTTTTCAAAACTTCAGCCAGTATAAACACAACTTTGAAATTCCCTCTTCTGTAATGACTTCAATCAGATTATCCAGTGAGTATCCAAAGAAAGATAATCAAACCCAAAAAACCAAAAAACAGAATTGCATGATATATTAATTTCCTCTATCTGTTGAAACAGCCACTCAAGTAATTGATAAGGCTATGAGTTATAAACTAGCTAAAGATATAAGTGGTAATATATTTGGTTCACAGTTAAATGCAAATTAATACTACAAACATATCCAAAATTTAAAACTTAAATTTAATATATGCTAAATTTTCATGAATGAATAACAATGTCCAATATTTTGAAATTTCTGACTCTATGAAAAAACTTAGATTAAATGCATTTGGATGAAGTACATTGATAGTTTGATATTTAAGACCAAATGTCAGAATTTGTAAAGAGAAA